ATCCCTTCCCACCACAAAAGGGTGTTTGTCATCTACTGCTCTGATTTGATTAAACAAGCGACCAACATTTCTGAGTGAATGCCAACCCTACACGTGCCTGGCCATCCCCACTCAATACACTGCCACCACGGTAGAGCGGCATCAGCAGAACAAAGAAGACTGTTCAACTCAGTAAATAACAACACTGGCCTTTGGGCACAGAGGCGCTTCTATCCGCTGGACTACTTTATATGGGTTCCTCATCTCTGCTTCCTTTATTAATTATTAACTCAAATGCCCTGCAGCCAACACAAAGGCAAGACTTGACAATATTGACCCTTACAGGCTACATGACAGGACACCAACACAATAATGAGGGGTAAGGAGCATAGCAACCACGAGGTACTATTAGAAATGCCCCATAAATAACCATTCATTTGAGCCTTCCCAGACCCTTGAGGGGTAAAAACCTTTGTGCCCACTGAACAGTTAGAGAAATGGGCGCTAAGTAACATGTCAAGCTCATGCAGCCTGACCTACATACAATTCATTCATGTTCTTTATCACATGTTCATTCTACCGCCCTACTATACCCTCTCTCAGTTCAAACAAAAGAATACACCTCAAAATGCGTTGCAAACCATAAAAATGCAATGTTAATTATCATTATCACAATTAGTGAACCTTCCAGCACCAAAAGACCTTCCTGGTACTACCTTTATGTGTCAGTAAAGGCAACAACTATTAATCTACTGTCCATCTGTCTGTAATCTACTATCCATCTGTCTGTACTTCCACTCCAGCTAAGGAAACGTTACCCTCAGGCTCTAGAACTGAAGCACGTGACCAGGACAATTCAATCAAAACAGAATGATGGCCCCAACCTCATAGGGAGGCTAGGCCCCATTAGCCTCACGTCAGGCACACATGGAGTCACAGCCCAGAAGACCATTTCCTGACATGATGAACTTGAAGCTGCTTGCAGGTCTCCACTCCCACAAGCACAGTCAAGATGGACCCTCGCAATATCTCTTAGATCCGTAGCCAGGCCCCTCTTTCAGGGAGATCCATCCCTGGGCTCAATCACTGGACACTAAGTGGGTAGTTTGAGTTGGGTTTTCTGTCAACTTTCAGCCAAGAGAATCATCTTGATACTTTCTAAAGCACATTTTGTTCTAGTCAGCCATGCTGACATGAACTTCAGAACTTCCTCTTTTTTGAAAATAAATCTTGAGAGGGACAAAATAAATTTTAATTAGATGGGCTTGAGAAGTCAACCCTCCTAAGGATTGCCTTCTTGGTGAGATAGCTCCATCCAGTATAGAACAGGTCCATTTTTCTTCTGCCACAGAATAAGTGATTTTACCTATCAGCTTTTTTTTTTCCTTCAGGAAATGATATTTTAGGCTGGGCCAGTGCTGCAAACCTGTAATCCCAGTTACTTAGGATATTGAGACAAAAGAACTGAAAACTCAAAGCCAGCTAAGGCTATGGCAGTTAGGGGGAAGCATTTTAGCTACAGGACTGTCTCGTTCTCAATCCTTCGGGGTCAGAAGCAGACACCAATTTCTGCTCAGTCCTGGGGGGTCCTTGTAGGACAGTGTCAACAATGGCAGAGCACGAGCACAAGCATCGTGGTGAGCAACACTACAGAGGAGAAAGGAATGTGCATCCTTAATAAGCTACAGGGTCTCATGAACTGTGCTTATTTCTTTCTTCTGAGGGCAGCAGCCACCAGGCCTCCTCTCAGATTATCTAGTAAGGCCTACCTCCTGTCAGCAGCATTTCACAAATCTCCAGGATGTGAACCTCTGGAAAACAAACTGTAACTCCTAAAGACAATTGACTGCACTCAAGTTTGACAACAGAACAAACCAGCATGGCTTTTACCTCACAGGCTCACTCAACTATTCAGGAACCATCCTTTTCTGTGGTGGTTCCTTCAGAAGTCTTGAGATTTCAGAAGAAAGCATTGACATGCCCACCTATGCCCTTGCCTCCAGGTAGGGTAAAAAGCATTTCATTTGTGGTCAGGTGGCTCCAGAGGTGACAGAGCGCATCACTGAGAGCTTTACACTGTATTGCTCCCTTGAACTTAGCATACCTCTAAAAGTTACAACTGCAACTTCGAGTAAACACCGGGGCTCACTTCCTAAAAGCCCTCTTGGGCTGAAAGAAGGAAGTGCAGCCTGTGTGGTCTATGGTGGGTCACTGACATAATCATAGCTGGTCTGAGGACAGTCATGGGTGGTGAGAGGGCAGACAATGACAGTTCAAGTGTCCACCCATAAAACACAGGCAAGCATTTATAAACACTGCTAACTAGGTTACAATTATATTTCTTAGAGAGATATAAAAGCCATTACTTTGTGTTCCTTGCGGTGCTGTCTGCAGACTCCTAATAAACATAAATAATCATGTATGACCTTGAGCCAGGAAGGCTAAGCATTCCAACACATGCTGATTTGTTACTCTGCCTTCCCAGGGCATTATCTTGGTTTGTTAGGATTATGAAGGCCTGCTTGGCTTGCTGTGATAAGCATGCCAAGAGCTCCCCTCCCTCTCTCAGACCAGGCAGCCTTCACATATCCTAGAATCACTGCCCAAATAGTCTGGGTCTTAAAGCTTTACGAATTGGTTTACGTCACACTACACAGTCTTCCTACTAAGGTAGTCACTGGACTGTGCAGAGCAACTACATATCAAATTTATAAAACTAATTGACAGTTGGTATATTAATTTTAAATAGAGAAGCTGGCAGTTTTATTTCCATACAACATTTGGTTATACCTCATAGAAAACACAAACCTAGAATGGAAGTTTTACATTCTCAAGCACATCTTAAAAAGTGCACAAACTTTAACTGATTATCATTTTGTGCATAAAATACCGTGGCACTTTAAATATTGTTAGATGAATGAATAAACAAACTTGATGAGCTTTTATTCTTATATGACCACATAGATTATCCTTACTATACCTTTGCTTTAATGACATAAAGTGGAAGCTGGTAATCATTTTGGGAAAAAATCAGATCATAAGTATTTTCAGCTCTGTGAGCCATATGATCATTTGTTGCCATTACTTACCCTGGTTTCTACTGTTACATAATACAATTTGTAAACAAATCAGCATGACTTTATTTGAATAAAACTTTAAAAAAAATTTAGTAATGAAAACACCATTTTCCCATAGAGAATACTTTCTTGTAATATGTTCTTCTGGCCCTTAAACAGCTTCTAAACTGAGCCAGAAATACTTGGTTAGGGGTACATACGAAAATCTCCACAGTGCCAACTGCCTGTTAATTGCAACCCTGTTACCAGCTTGGTCTATGAATGTCTTTGAATTTATTTTCGGGAACTCTAGAGTTCAACTACTGTGTGTCCACAACTGTGACTCCATAAGCAAGATACAGGCTCTCAGGGACAAGGCACGGCTGATGTTCTCTTTCCCTTACTTAATACCTCATATCATCACCTACTAAGCTTTTAACTGTTTATTCACCGATGGCCTATTTGAGACTCTGCAGTCTGTCTGGGGATACTGAAGAGAAACAGAGGCAGAGGAAGACACAGAACAGTGCCAGGAGAGAAGAGCGGAGAGTCACAGGAGCAGGTAGAGTCCCTGCAGGACTGAAGAAACCACCCAGAGCTCCATGTGCCCGCATCTTCCATCAGGTCAGGACGTCTTCACAAACAGCAGCAGCTGGGCAAAGGCTGGACGTCCCACTGCCATTCCACTAGAGCCATGGTAAGGAGCCTCACTAATCTCCATTTCTATGGAGGGTGGCCTGGGTGCAAACCCTTTAAAATGATCCATATCTGCTAGAATAAATAAATCATGGTGTTTCCACACAGTGGAATGCTTGATTGCAACGCGAATGGGCATTCTATAACCGTATGCAACAACAGGAGTAGTAGATGGCTGAGTGACAAAAACATACAAAAATATAATGTGAGTTATACATCACACACACACACATGCACACACAACACAGGAAAACCATATTTATGCTGCTACAAAGCAAGAGAGCAGTATAGCGTTTGCTAGAAGGGAGATTCTTAATCTGAGTGCTAGTCACACATGTATGCTTGGTTTGCAAAGTTACCTCGAGCTAAGTATTTATAATACATGTAGTTATTAAAAGCCTGGGATTCAGAACAGCCAATAGCTACCCTGTAAGAGATAATGATTCCTGTAATCAGTTCTGATGTTTAATGACTTGTAACTACAATCACTATAGAATTATAAAGTCCAACAAGTCTTTCATGCAAAACTTCTAGCTTGGAATCATTTCTAGCCTCTCTCGTGTTGACTTTAACATTATTAACATCAATGTTACATGGCCACTCATGATCTTTGCATGTTCTCCTACATATATGGATTTTTTTTCTAAATTAACCAACATATGATCACACAGATCCCAGAGACTACTTTACTGATGACGGCTCATCAGGAGGAGGGTTGTTACCATCTGATCCACTCACCCAACCAACCAAATGGCAGCCAAAGTAGACAGACAGCTTACAGGAAAAGAACTAAGCACAGGATGCCTCTCTTATGCTGAGCCAACACCATACCTCTATATACACATGGTTCTTGTCAACCCAACTCACACTGCTTAGCTGCCCGCTAATTAGATATAGTTAAAATCTTTTTATTTCTGTAAATTATGAAAGAAGACAATTTCTGTTACACTCTTGTGTTTACTTATGTGATCTGGTGTCACATAATTTATGAGTGTTCTGAAATGCCACTCATGGGAGGCTGTTATTTTTAGAAGCTCTAAACATTTAGGAGAAAATGCCATGATATTTGCAACGTATTCCCATGTGTTTCAACAAAAAATAATCAAAATATTTTTTAAGGGAACAAACCTACCCAAACAGGAAACAAGAATTAACAAAAACACTAACAACATTCAAATGTGGGTGCTGAGCACACGGTCCGTTCTGTCCACTCTTCAGCAGGCTTGAGAATATTTCATAGTATAAAGAAGCAGACAAGTCTTTACTCACCTTCTCAGTGGGTGGCTCTCTTCTAAATAGAATCAAATGGCGAGGTCTGTCCTCAGGCACTGCTTCACCTGCCTTCACCCTGCAAGCAACAGCAAGCAATGCGTTAGCCTCAAGGAACTATATGAAGGCAATGTTCTTTCAGTCAGTAGATGTACTTAATATATGGCAAATCTCAAGATGAAATTATTGCTATAGCTTAAAAAAATAGGGAGAAATATGAAAAAAAAAGATCTTATATTGACCATGGGAAATTCTAGCCTCCCTCACCCTAGCTTGGAATCAAAGCAACCTCACCGTGAACTTGTCTCTCTCTCTCTCTCTCTCTCTCTCTCTCTCTCTCTCTCTCTCTCACTCACTCACTCACTTCATTTTAAGGTATTCTTGTCAAAAACTTCTTTGATTAGGATTAGAGCATCATTCTGCCATATGTATACATATGTACACATCAAGTAACTATGACTACAGTCAGCTAATTAACATATCCACCACTTCTCGTCCTTAATTACCTTCTCTTATTGTTTTTTTTTGAGCCGTGTCTGGCTATACAGCTGAGGCTGGCTCATTCTTTTGGACCCTCCCAGCCTTTATTCAGAATACTCAGCTGTTAGTTACTTTTTCTTACTTGTGGTGAGAACTCTCAGCAAGTGTCCAACTCACAGTATATTGTTATTAATTATGGCCTTCGTGCCCATCCTTCAGGCTTTCTGAATATCAGTGCCATGGTGAGTTTCTCTTCGTATAAACCAATTCTAGACAGTGGTATGGCCCAAACATGCTGAACTCAGCTCACACTCAGAAAAGACCAACCTGTAAGGGCCTGGGCCTCCTTTTGACCTTGAATTTCTGAGACCATACATATCAGGCATTTTTTTTTTAAACAATCAACCACCACAGTGAAACTTCAGGTCTTCCTCAGCTCCTCTGAGGCAAAGATAGTCAGATATAGCCCATTCTAAGTCCAATTATATGCTCCCCAGCCAGTCAGCTAGGTAAGACCTAAGTCACACCCGTATTGTTATCACAGGACTTCTGCGTTGGAGGTGCCTAAGCTACCCAATCTTCCCCTACAGTTCCAAGTGAGTTTACCAACCTCTCTCAAGAGAAAGCAGCTAAGAGCCAAAGAAGGTGTTTAACAAAGATACGCAAGTAGAAAGTAACAGAAATTAAATCCCTACTTAAGTCTTTCGACTTCTGAATCAGAGTTTGTCTCACTACACGGTTTGCTCTGCCCTAGAGATGATGCTCTTCTGAAAAGTAGCCCAGAGCCAAAAGCCAAACAATGTTCTCACCTGAGGGAACACGTGGGGTGTGTGCTACAACATGTTTCCTAAGAGAAGACATCTACAATCGTGCCTAATAGTACCATTAATCCTGTAATCATCACAATTACTGTAATTACTACTAATAATTATACTTCTTTGTAGACACAATGACCTTCGTGTATTTTTGGCATTTTATACATATAATTCATTTTCCTACCTTTTCTCAAAAGAGTACAGCTGCCTAACTGAAGTAAATAACAAGCATCGCAGTGGAACGCTGGTCACTTTCGTCTTTGCCTCCATCAAAGGAAGCCCTTGCTGGTTGCTCCTTTTCACACAATGAAAAGGATGGTACATTACAGCAGCACAGGCACAGCCCCACAAATAAAGCCCAGAAGGAGAGGAGAGAACACAAGCTCTCCATGCGCACAGGTGGCAAGGGCCTCTCGATTCATGAAGGGCCTCTCTGTTAAGTGTGCGCGTGCGCTTAACACACACACACACACACACACACACACACACACACACGCATGCACGATGTCTGCACGCACAGAGGTCGCAGGCGTGATGCTTAACTGATGAGCAAAGGTTGTGGGTGCGAAGTCCTGGCATCTTCACTAGTTAACTTAAAAAGTGAGAGACGCTCTCCCAGCTGCTTCCTCGCCTGGAGCTTAGCGTGCCTTCCAGAGATGTTGGGATTCACAAAGGAGACTCACAAACCGGGGCACTTGAACCTCCAGGAATACTCTCTAAGCAGCCGCTTCTACAGCCGCCCAAAACTAAGGGGGAAATATGTAAGGTATTTTCTAGAAACCTCGATCTTAACTCAAAGATTTTGGTGGTAGAAAAGCAAATAAATTAGTAACTTGGAAGTTGTTAATATTAAGACAAGAAAGAGAATACTGCTGGTACTTGAATTCTTAAGCAGAAAAAGAAATCCCATTTTGACTTCCTGAGGCTACTTCCAGCTTCGCTCTCTCTTGTGGAGTTTGGGAAGAGAAGTGTGAACTGCTTCTCCAGTCTCTTTCAGGCAGCAATAGAGGAGGCAAGGGTACGCCATGGAATGTCACTTCATTATTACCTGAGTTCTGAAGACACCTCTTCAAAATCAGAAGTCCCAGACTTTTGCCACATGTAGAGGCAGACAAAATGAAATCTAGAGACCTGCAATCCCATCTCTGCATCACCTATCCTGACATGTGTCAACGGGGTCCATTCCTCCTCCTCCTCCTCCTCCTCCTCCTCCTCCTCCTCCTCCTCCTCCTCCTCCCCACCCACTGACCCACTACAGGCACCAGCTCACCAGGCAGGCTCAAGCCACGCAGAAGCCACATTTCACACTGGTGACATTTTCCACCCTATACTGACCTGTAAGACATTTTCATTTGAAGTGATAGTTGTATGATTACTATATAACATTAAGCATCTCCAGGTAGTGGTAGTGGTGCACGCTTTTAATCTCAGCACTAGGGAGGCAGAGGCAGGCAGATCTCTGAGTTTGAGGCCAGTCTGGTCAACAGAGTGAGTTCCAGGACAGTCAAAGACTACATAGAGAAAGCTTGTCTCAAAAAAATCCAAAACAAATAAATAAACATCAATTTAGTTTTGTCTCTAAAAAGTTATTATTCTGAAATATGTTTTAAAAAGAGAAACTGTAGAAGCCAGCCTCCAAAACGGCAGCCAGTGGTCCGGGTCTCCCAGCATCCCTGGACTGGTATAGTTCATCCCCTTCCATGCTGAGTAACGCTGCTGTGTGTAAATGCTACAGTACTGGGGGAGTGCCAGAGAGATGCTTCAAATGCTACATGAAGACTCTGCAGCTCAGATCTTACACTGTCTTTGGAGGGGAGCTGGCTGCCAGGACGTGAAGACACTCAAGAAGCGGTATAAGCAGAGCTCAATAGGTAAAACACTTGCCATGCAAGCATAAAGACCTGAGTTCAAATCCCCAGATTCCATGTAATAATGCCAGAAGCAGCAGGTATGATGGCCATCCCAGTGATTCTAGGTAAGATGGGTGATCCAGAAAGGAGAGTCTCTAGAAGATCACAAGCCAGCGACTAGCCGGAATGCAGAGCAGTGAACAGGAAAGAGACCCGGTTCCTGGAAGGACTCATATGGATTGTCCTTTGACCCCTACATGTATGGTTTCACACACGCCCCAAAAAAAGAAGCTTTGCAGAGAAGGACATATTTTCAGTAAAATATACTTCCTCAAACCAGTGAGAAACTGAGAGAAAAACCAGTGAGAAACAACCATGGGGGGTGGGGGACATCATAGAAGCAGATCCCCCAGCACCAGGCGGTCAGCACTGCAACTCCACAAGACCCCAGGTCAAAACCATCCAGCTAACGAGTTCCCACATTCCTAACCCCCACACAGAAGCTGTGAGATCATGCTTAGGGTCTAGTGAAAGTTCTAATGTAACTGTCATGCAATGAAGAGCACTGTAATAAAACACATATGACGTGGGCTTCTGTTTGGGAGGGTGTGTGTGTGTGTGTGTGTGTGCACTTGCTGACTGCATTTTCTCTCCTCATTCTTCAGCATCTCCCCAACAAGGAGATGCACCACTATACCGAGTTTTGAACCAATCATTCATTTGTTTCTCTCTATCGTCTCACCACATACGTATTCTCAATAAGCCACTGTGTTGTGCCTAAGTTAAGCTCACTGTAAAGGAAACATAATGTGCACATTCTTCTGAGACTCCCTCTTCCTTAAGATTTGACACTGAGATTCATCCCTGTTGACACACGTGGCTGCAGCTCATTCCTTCTTCTTCTTTTTTTTTTAAGTCTTTTTACCATTCCACATTTTTCATTGTGTGAAGAAGCTTACAATTCCCAGTTCTATTCTACTGCTGAGGATCCTGGGAGTTTTCAATTTTCACCTGTAATGAATAATGCTGGCATAATATTCTGGCACTTGTCCCCTGGTGCACGCGGCAAGTTTCTGCAGGCTTTACCTAGGGAAAGGTGGCAAGGCTAGGGGCCTGCACAAGTTCACTCCTCTAAGTAAAGCCAAACTGTTCTCCATAGTGTTTGTGTACAGCGGACTCTAGCCGCCTTTCCAGGCTCACTCTAAGAGGCATGCTTGTTTTGCTAATTGCAGGAAAAGCTTTCAACCAACAAAAGGGAAAGCTTTCCTTGTGTCCACAACACTGCTGCACACAGACAGTACTCCACAGCAGTGACCCAGACAGATGGAACACATTAGTCACAGGACCCTGTACAGACTTGAGAATGATGTCGGAGACAAGCCAGTACCAAGCACAGACCATGGGGGTACGGCAGAGCCCATTTTTTTCCCAACGGATTCACAGTGCGGTCCTCCCTTATTTCTGTTATGATAAAGGAGTGGGGCTGAACTTGCTCACGACAGCCAAATTCAAAACTAAAGCTGAGGGAGCAATTCTCTACAAACAGTTCTTCTACCAGAGAGCAGCCTTTGTTTTTCATATTTTCACCTGTAAGATGGAACTATTGTATACTGCAACTAAGTCTTCCTCTGAATACTTCTATTAAAAATTAAATATTTTCCATAAAAAAGATGTTCTTTGCAGAGTTAGTAAATCCAGTTTCTTAGGTGGAAATGACAATTTTATAATCATCTGCATTTCTAGTAAAAAAATAAGATCACAGACTCTTTCGGCATTAAGTACAAGTAACAAGAAATTCTTTATCCAGGTGATGGTGACAACCGCCTTTAATCCCAGCACTTGGGAAGGAAGCAGAGCCAGGCAGATCTATGAGTTCAAAGCTAGCCTGGTCTACAGAGCTAGTTCCAGGACAGCCAGGGGTGCACAGAAAAACC